GGTCTCTACTGTTTTCCAGGAGCCAGCCCCCTCCCCCCACAGTTTCTCTTCCTGTGTATCATGTATCGAGTCCTTCGGGTCTCTGATTGACTTCTCCACAGGGCCTGTCTTCCAGAAAGTGGTCGCTTTTCTGCTTCTAGAATTGCTGCTCTTCTTCTCTTCAATCTCCTGTTGAGTGTGTAGGTCTTCAGAGAAGTTTGATAACTATGTAGCTGAACTCTTAGATCTCTTACTTCTCCTCTGTCTTGCTCCTTCCAAAAACAGTCTTGATTGATTTAGTTGTGGCTCTTAGTTTTCCATGCCCAGAAACTTTGTAGTTTCATTGATTGGGGATCAATCTTTCCGGGTTGGGTGTGCATTCACAGCTGACCATTAAACCAGTCTGAAAGTGAATGGATGAATGCATGACGAGAATTACAATATGCAAGAGAACTATTACTCTCATGTCAGGAGCTAATACTTTCTCTTACAGTAGGCAAAAATTATAAAGACCAAAATACTGTCCAGTTGTATCTAAAAGCTGCTGAGAAAGTGTGACCCTGGAGCAAGAGGTATCCTTTGAATTTGAGGAATGTTGGTGACAGGCTCATGTGATGCACTCTACTCTGATTGAGGAAAGCCTTTCTGAGGGACATGAGTACTACCACCCTTTCCATCAGGGTCCACTTTGCTCTCTGGGTAGTGCTGGAAATACACTGCTAAAATGTACTTGCCTTGCTTGCTTTTCTATGTGCCAAATTGGCCAGATGATTTCCAGAATACATTATGATGTTTAGACAAGTTGAAAGCAAGGGTTATTCTGGACATTGAGTCATTCTGCTCCCTGATTCTGTACACATAGCTCTCCCGATCTATTTTAATATATCACAGAAATGTCTGCCAAATTTCATAGTAAAATGAAGTGAACTTTCCTGTGGACATAAGAAGACCTAAAGGAATATGTGGGAAATTCAACATTTTTAAAATTTATTTTCTTATTCTTAGTTCTAAAACTTGGACCTTACTCCTTAAAATAATGCCATTCAACTATCAGTTCTTGTCCCTTGGTCCTTTGAGATTGATATACAAATGAGTTAGTTTCCTTGGATCACACAGAAGTCTAAGGCCTCCTCAAGAATTTCATGATTCTTGGAAACTTATGTATTTCTACTCTAGTAATGGTTCTGATTTCTTATTCTCTTTCTCCAATGGGTTCTTTCAGCTCCACATTGACCTGTGTAGGGAACAAAGACACCTTTTAAAATTTCCGACAATATTGCTTCCCCAAAACATTTCTTATAATGGGTTTTTACTGAAATTGTAGGGTGATGGAGGGGTAGGAGTGGGGGGGGGGGCATGTTGTGATGGCAGGTGGTATAAAGACTGACAGCATAGCATTATACAGGAAAGCATTCAGGATGAAATACTACACATCTATGTGTTAAAAATGCTTCAGGGTCCTAACATGGTTTTTTGTTTGTTTGTTTTTTACTTTTAGCCAGCATATAGTACATCATCAGTTTCAGAGGTAGAGTTCAGTAATTCATCAGTTGCTTGTAACACTCAGTGCTTATATATCATGTGCCATCCTTAATGCCCATTAGGGTCCTATCATGTTGAATTGAATTCCTCACAGGACATTTTTTCCCCCATGACTCTGATCTCCCAACATATCATGTTACTACTTATTGAACTTTTCTTAATGACTCAATTTTGAGTTAGTAGGAATGTTCTGGGTCTCAAAACAGTTTGGCCCTCTCCTTTTCCTCCTATTTGTCTCCATATCATTTCTTCAACACCCTACTCTCAAATCATAGTGGTCTAGTATGGTATTTTCTAAAACAAAAACAGCTCTCTATAGACCACTACGCTATCAATGTTTCAAAATAATGAGTAAACTTCATACTTCAAAATGATTTTTCACATTTTCCTGCATAGTCTCTTGTGAGTTGCTGTGATCTCCACTTTGAGAAAAATGGTACTGGTAGTCCCTTTTGTAGTTTCAATCTCAGACAGCAGCTGGCTTTCCATGACCTTGGGCATGTGGTACCTCTCTTTGGTACCTGGATCCTGCCTCAAGGATGTGTTATGTACTGCTCTGTATTATCCTGTGTGACTAGACCAATGTGAGGAGAGCCCAATTACCAATACAATGAGTGAAACATTTGCAACATCCAATCTGGTTACACAAATAATTTTTACATTTCTCAGGAAAATGTAATATTTTTTGACATTGAAATTTCAAGTCTATACTCAAAGTTTTTCCAAAATAGTTTGTGTGTGTGTTTTATTCATATGTTATTGTCAATCTCTAGTCTGACAACAATTGAGCCATGTATACTTATCTTATTTTTAATTGCATTGTATTATATTTCATTGTGTTTATTAAACCTAAGAGTTATAGAGTGCTTTAGTAGGCTTTCTGAATAAATAGATATATTTTCCTTTTTTAAGGGTTTTTAAAAAGATTCCACTGCAATAGTCGTATCTTTTTGTCTGCTTCTTATATTATTGTCTACCCAAGTTTATCATGTTGAAAATTTTCTTCTATTTTTAAATTAAAAAAAAAAAAGAATGGATAGCGAATGCTGTTGAATGGTTTGGAAACATCCGAATGATTAAATGATATGTCTTTTTTTCTTATTAGTCCTAGTTTTTGAATAATTATATTATGTGATTTCTCAATACTCTGCCTGAATTTTCAGGATAAACCCTACTTAGTCATGGTGGCTAATTTCTTTGTACTAATGGATTCAGTTTATAGTATTTATATTAATAAGTAAGGTTTGTGTTTTTAATTTTCTTTCTGATACTTTTTGTATCTAGTTTCAAGCTTAGCTTCTAAAAAACTTGAGTAGCTTCTGTAGCACAAGATGATTGTTTTTTGAAAATCTATATAATTTTTAGATAAACTATTTTAAAAAGTAGTTTTCAGATAAGCATTTAAATAAGTTTCCTGTGATCGTTTTTTTGTATTTTTAAATCTTTAATTGAATCATTTTAGGTAATATACTACTACCCATAAACTCAAGTATTCTATCAAGATGTTCTTATTTTTAGAATCACAGAGTATTTTCTATTTGTTTAATCTCTATATTAATATTTATTATACAAATATATACTTCATTATTTATTATATTCATTATTTATTAAGTTTCATCAGCATTTTAAAACATTTTTATGGGTTTTTTTGTTTTTTCATAGAACCAGTGCTTGGACTTATTTAGCTATTTTATAGTAATACAATTTTTTAAAAAATTAGTCATGTTATCCTGATTTTTGTAATAAGATTTTAAAAATTACTTAATACCTTCTTAAATCCTATGCTTTTTCTAGTATATTCTTACCTATAATGAAGACATTAAGGGTTATGAATTTGCTTCTGGTTACAACTTTGATAGATTTTTGATAGAATTAAGTAAATAAATTTATATATAGTTCTCCAAATTCCACTCTTCTAACAGTCTGTAGTTGTACTTGTGATTTTCTTTTATTACTCATGAGTTTCTTCAATTCTGCAATTTAATTACTGTTCTAATTTTATAAACAAACATCTCATGGACAATTGGGAAAAATGAGTCTTTGTAACTCTAAGCTTTAAATATATGCAAGTGTTGTGTATGTATTTGTATATATATGCATATTTGTATATATAAATGCATATTTATGCATTTATGCATATTTATATATGCATAATATATATGCATATATATATAAATATGCATAAATATGCATATTCATATATATATACAAATACATACACAAAAATTTCCCACAATTCTATTCCTGTACGTTTCCTGGAATTTCTGATTTGTTCACTGGAGTATTTTAATGCTTTGTTAGTTAATTAGGTCTTTGGAGCTAACTACCTTATTTTCTCTAGATGCATATAGGGTTTTATTTTTATCCTTTTAATTAAATAATTAAAATTTTGCCTGAATTTCTGCACATATAGGGTGCTTTTCAATAATTTTTCCAGAAACACAATCAACTGCTTTGATTGACTCTTTATTTTTTAAAACATTTTACTCTGAAGTAATTTTAGATTTACAGAAGAATTGCAAAGACAGTACACAGAATTCCCATATACTCCCAGATTTAGCTAATGTTAACAAATGTTATGCAAAATGGTATGTTTATCAAAGAAATTAACATTAGTGTAATATTTTTAACTGAACTACAGACTTTATTTTGTTTTCCCTAGTTTTTCCAGTGTCGTGCCTTTTCTCTGCCAGGATTCAATGCATTTAGTTGTCATGCCTCTTTAGAATGCTCCAATCTGTGACAGTGTTTTATAACCTTGACACTTTCGATAAGTATATTCAATCATTTCTTAAAACTAGCAATGGAATGCATTCTTCATCTGTGATTTCTGCCTCTATTCCAATCATTCTTCACATTTTGCCCCTGGGGAACATATATAATTAATAAGTTTGATCTCCATTGTCTTATTTCCTTATCTGTCATCTTCTTTCAAAGATTTTCTTCCCCCGCTTCCCGATAAATTTGGAGAGTGTTTCTCACGTTTGTCTTCCACCATGACTATTTGATTATCTGCAGTATCAATGTTGTCACCAACATTAAAAATAGGGCTTGTCTCAATTTGATTTTCATGCAACACTTTCTTATAGAACATTTTATCTTAGCTTGTAATCTATGCCATGCATCTACTATAATTACTTATTATATTAATTATAAATAATCTTAGCCTATTGTCTCCCTTTCATGACATGTTCCTGTTTCACAACATAGAAAGCCATAAGGAAAAAAAAGAGAATGAAGTAGACATACATGAGCAGAAAGAAGTTTATGCAGCTACAAAGGAGAGGCAGCAAGATCAGCTGCTGTGGTTTTGAGAATTTCCAACTCAGATATCTTCTGAGAATGTCAAAAATCCTTGTAGGGTTTTCTTCTGTTTCCTTCAGAAGTTTGTTCCATGCGAAATTATATTTACCTTATTTTTCAGTACTTTTTATTTTCAGTCAGCATAATTTTGTCTTTGTTTCTCTACATATCTGCATTCCGTCTACCTGCCAGCAGGGCTGATGAGGGCCCTTGGGCTTCCTTCCCCACTCCATGGTGCACTGCTTAAGAGCTCTTCTTGTACAGACTGACATATCTGTTGAGTTCCAGCTTACTTTCCAAAGCTGACCAAGGTTCCATCTAGTGTCTCCCATCCACGGTAAGTTGTTTTGGGTGACTGTATTTCCCACAAAACAGCATGCTGTTATTCTTTCCATATTTCTCTTCTCTGAGACCAGTGGCCTCTGGGTGAATATAAAAAGATGAGGCAAAGGAGGAAAAGCAAAGTCCTAAAAGCACAGAGATGAATATCTCAATTCTTTTGATGGCTAGGAAAGATTGTCCGGCAATATGGGGGAGTGAAAATTGGCTGCCTATATTTTGGGGGAAGAGGGTGGGTAGAGCTGCTTATTCATGGTACAAAGGGTGGATAGATCGCAAGTGTTTTTTTATTAATTCATCAATTCAACAAATATGCACATTGTATCGTGGTTATGTATAAGGCACTATGCTTGGTTCTGGTAATATACACTTAAATAAGAAAGACTTGGTCCCTGACTTCATTAATTTTTTTCCTAGTTGCTGAAGATGAGTTAGTATTTTTGAATGTCAGCATTTACTGAATGTATCTCGCTCCATGAAATTGTTATCGGAACTAAACACGATAATCTTAGAGAAAAAAAAAAAGATTTTATTTATTTATTTGAGAGACACAAAGAGAGAGAGAGAGGAGGGGAACAGGGAGAAGGAGAGAATCTCAAACAGACACTACACTCAGGGGCTCATCTCATGACCCTGAGATCATGACCTGAGCCAAAAGTAAGAGTTGGACATCCCTAACCATTATAACCTACATCTGGTATCTGTTGCATGGTAAACAGTCAGCCAAGATTAGCTATTGCTACTTTTGTTCTGATTATTATGACTGCTGCTATTTTTTTTTTTTTTTAACTACTACTGGTCAGGAATTTAGGTGAACACCTTACAGGGCTCAAAATGTTCAGCCTTCAAAATTTGGGGACATCAGTCTTCTTAGTTTTCCTCGTATTTTCATCTATTGGGGGGACACTTTGGTGACCAGAATGATTTCAAACTTAAAAATGGTTGCAAAAACAAAGAATTCCTTTACACTGTTTCCTACCTCTCCCAGACTTTAACATCTTCGTAATCACGGTATAATTATCAAAACCAAGAGATTAACGTTCCCATGATACATTTAACTGATCTATATACCTTATTCAAGTTTCCTACCACGAGTTGTTTGACCAATGTCCTTTCTAGACCACAATCTGATACAGGATCCCCTAAACCATTGAGTCCTTAAGTCTCTTTAGTCTCTGTTAATTGGGATACTTCCTATGCCTTGTGGTCTTTCATGACCTTGACACTTTTTGAAGAGTACTGGCCAGTACTCAATTTGGATTTGTCTCATGTTTCTTCATGATTAAATCCAAATTAAGGATTTGGGGTAAGGATATCAATGAAGTAATACTCTATCCTTCTCAGCACATCATGATCAGGAAGCACATGCTGTTATGTCTAATCTTTGAGAACTTTGACTGCTTGTTTAACATGGTGTCTTCCAAGTTTCTCTATATTAATGTGACTACTTTTTCCCTTGGTAATTAATGAGCGTCTTGAGGGGAGATACTTCGAGACTATGTAAATATCCTGTTTCTCATCTTTTGCCCACTAATTTTAGCGTTCATCGATGGTGATACTGATGCCAGTTTTATGGCTACTTATTATTCTTGCCCACAACAATTATTATTGGTGATCTTCTAATTCCATCATTCCATCTTTACTTCCTAACTGGAATTCTACTGCAGTGACAGCTTTACCTTCTTCTCCACTTAATTATTTATACAACTCTTTATTTATACAGTAAGTCTTCATGGATGTTCATTGCAATCATTATTTATTTTGTGACCCAGATCAAAATGACCCAGATTTGACCACTGGGAGCTCCTTGCAGTTGTGTCCCATTTTGAATAATATTTTATTTTATTTATTTTTTTAAAGATTTATTTATTTATTTATTTGACAGACAGAGATCACAAGTAGGCAGAAAGACAGGCAGAGAGAGAGGGGGAAGCAGAGAGCCTGATGTGGGTCTCGATCCCAGGACCCTGGGATCATGATCTGAACTGAAGGCAGAGGCTTTAACTCACTGAGCCACCCAGGTGCCCCTTGAATAATATTTTAAATTGGAAACCTCATGTATATTAACTTCCCCTCCCTAAATTTTATTATTAAAACTTTTAAACAAAAAGTTAACCAGTCAGTTATAAGTTAGGATAAATGGCATGGGCAGAAAATTTCCCATAAGCAGTTTTTTAATGGTGGCAAGGAGGAAAGAATATTTAAATAGGGGGACCTTGAGGTTTTTATGTGAGTAAGGGGTGGCTCTGCATGAAATAAAGGAAAGAAGGAATCTGGAACAAGAAATTAAACACAATGAACAAGTGTTATTACAACATCTAAATGGTGTGAGGTCCAATTTTTAGATGCAAACTTAAACCTACTTCACCCTTTTGTTTAGGATTGAAGCAGAGGAATGGGGTGATTGAATGCTGGGAATCAGGTATTGGACTCCCCTTTCCTTCTGGAAAGGCCTTATCTGACCTTTTCTGAAGTGGAAATTTAGCCAGACACAGTCAACACTCAAATCAAGTGGTTGCCTGTGTTTCCATCATCCTGGGCCCCATTGGAAATGTGTCTATTTTTTGAGAAACCATGGAGCTCAATCTACATTTCTCATTACCATTTAGTAAAAGAGGGACTGCAGTTGACTATAACAGATAAAGGGCAATTGCTTATTTTTTAATCAATTCTTATTGATTTGGGAGACACAGGATTCTTAATTGTATGTGTACTTCATCTTCCCATTGGAAATTTCTACTTCATCTGATAGATAGATTCTGGTTTAAATTGCAGTGCAATATCCTGATGTGCGCTGGTTGGAAAAGGGTTTAAGTCTTTTCAAATACTTGAGAGAAGAGTCTACAGAACAGGGGAGCCTTTCTTCTGCTGATATTAGCAGTCTTGACTGGTGAGGGAGGCTCTGAACCCAGACTGCTTGGGTTTGAATCCCCCTTCAGTCACTACCTGTGTAACCTTGGGTGAGCTACTTCAACTCCTGATGTCTCAGTGTGTTCATCTGTGAAATGGGTATAACAGTAGTACCATCTACCTTATGAGGTTGTTGTAAAGATTAAGTGAGGATAATTGATGTAAAGCATTTAGCTTTGAGCCTGGCCTCTACTCTCTCTTTTTTTTTTTTTTTCCTCTCCCCTGGGAAGAAAGTGCAAGTTATCACCACTTTGTGGCTGAGCAGCAAGTTTCGTCTCATTTTCTTTGGAATCTCCCTTTTTCAGTTTGCTGAAGTATATTTTTATATGCCTGCCATCAACATTTTTAATAATTCTATTGATAAAAAATTGTGAGCTGTTTTTATTCACATATCACTTATTCTTCTTTTCATTGTGACATACTTACAAGTGATTACAGGTAAATTTTATATTTGTGCTATATGTATTTCTCATGAATATATTCATACATATGTAATGTATGGTTATAATTGATTCACAAAAAAAGGAACACAGAGATCAAAGGCATATGTTATTTTTAGGATTATGATACAGCTTTTAGTTAGTTTGGTAGATGTTTATACTAGTAATATGCTTTAATTCCATCTTTTAAAAATCTGACCATGTTTTGGTACATCTTGTGAATAGAGCATTAAAAATTTTTTTTGCCAAATATGTATTTCTAAATTATTTCATTCATAAATGCCTCATTATTTATCTCTAAAAGTTAAAGATATTTAGCATAACCAAAGCAACATTATCACATCTAAATTTTTAAAAATGCTTAATTTAACAGAAATGGAGAAATACATCTGTAATTTTTAAAAATATTATAAAGAAATTCTGTATATCCTTAACCCAGTTTTTTCCAGTAGTAACATCTTGCGTAATCATGATGCAATATGACAACCAGGAAATTTATATCGATGCAGTTCATCTCCACATCTAAAAAGTTTTCACAACAGTTCTCTAACATCATTCAATGTAAAGGTAGTGTTCAAATTTCTGTATTATTTCATAATATCTTCCCAGTTGTTTTCTTGTCATCAGTAGGATCTTTATGCTCTTGAGAGCAAAACAAACTTCTGTCTTACTAACCTTTGCTGCCTTTCCTAGCCCAGTGTGGATAAGGATATTGTAAGCCCATTCTGCACTAGGTGTGAGAATGGAACAGGACAGAGAGACAAAGAGAAGTTTACCTAGTTATGATTACTGTCCCTAATCTGAAAGTCACAAAATGGAAGTGCCCAAACGACAGGTGCTTATGCAAGAACCCATGGCACTAGAGCCACACCTGGAGGCTTCTTTCCTGTTTTCTGTGACAGCATGAGAGATCCATGGATGCTCTAGGGAAAAATTCTTTTAAAAATTCTGGACAGTTGACAACCCGCAGGACGGGTGGGACTCCACTCCAATATTGCTGACACAGCTTAATACGTTCCGGTACACTGACTTCGAGGGCTAGTTAGATGGGCTCTGGATGAAAGGACACAGGACCTGGCTTTAAGGACGCGGGTTCCATTCTGATCCTATCATGTACCAGCCTTGAACTTTGGGCAGGTCATTTAATCTTTTTGAAATTCTATATTTCATCCATGCAGCAGAAATAGGAGTGCTTATTTTATAGTTTTATTGGCTGATGACACAAGATAATGTTTGTGAAGTTGCCCAGCACATCCCAGTGTTCAATAAATGCTAGTTCAGCCGGGGTGCTTGGCAAACAGCAAAAACCAAACGCTACAAAAAACGTTCTTCGATGTTAGCAATGAGGCTGAAAATTTGAAAACTATTTTTTTTTAAACTCCCTGGGTACTTTAATTTTTCTCCAGACAAGCACAAGGTTGACACAGGACACCTTTTTCATAGAGGTAGTCTTGACTAGGGTCTGGCATTCACCTCCCTCTCCCTTTCGGCCCCACTTCCTGTACAGATCAGGGCTGATGCATGCTCAAACTGCTTGTGACTTGAGCTAGACCTGGTTGAACATCAATGGTCCCTTTGTGGGCAATTTTGTTCTGTTTTTTCCTTAGGAGCAAAATGCCATCCTGGTCAAGATCTAGAAAGTTGCTGTTTCATTGTAATAGGATATGCATTTAAATCAGAGCTATGCAAGTTGAAGGATACTCCTGGTCACATCAGATTCAGCAAGCCAGGGGGAAAATCTCCTGTCTTCTGGAATCACTGAGCCTGAAGGCCTTTGAGGCTGGCTGGCGGCAGGGTTGCCTACTAGCAGCCCACTCTTAATGTAGATATTTTGTTTCTGCACCACCACTGGCAGTCAAACATTGCAAATAAATCCTATTATTTGTTCCTTTCCTTCCTAACATGTTATTTCCACACTTATGATTTTAGAAAGATGTTATTTCCAAACTTTGGGTATAAAATGAAAATTTCTTCCACAACACCTGCCATGATGTTGTATTTTTTATTCCCTCATAAAGGAAGTTGCTTTATTATGGAATTCACAACTTAAAAACGTCAATTGTGTCATTATGTAATTGAATTCCTAAATGCATCTTCTTTTCCTTTTAGCCTCTAATATCAGAATGTATAAAATGAGCAGAAAAAAACACAATATGGGGTTAAGCCTTGGGAACTGCATGAGAGTTTGGGAAAAGTTTTAGGATGCTTTTATTTAAAATGTTAAAATCTTTTGGTAATATTAGGAAGAGTCTCTAAAGGTTTTTCTAATTTAACTATTTCAATAAGTGCTGAAGATTTTCTGTGGAAAGAGCACAAAAACTCTTTAAACAAAGGCCCATTTCACATTTTAATGCAAATTAGTATAATTTGGAGAGGCCACCTATATTTCTAAATATAACGCTGCATAAAATTAGTGGCATATTTTATATTATCCATTCACTTAAACTAATCTCACTTCTGAAAAGCCCTATAGGGATGAATAGATTGCCTGTAGAAAGTAGGCTTATAAGCTTTCAAATATTTAAAGAAAAGATGAGACTATAAAGGCATGGAGGAGAGAGGATATAGAATTCTCGAGAAAACATTACTCAAGCTTCAATGGCGATAATGTTGGAAGAATAAGGCTCATAAGTAGCTCCCACCTCCTGTGGTTCCCCAAGATTGCACGGCCGGGAACAGTGGCCACCGCAGCCATCAGGACCACAACAAGGGACGGTGCTGAGACCATTTCTGGAAACACTGCTAATAGCCTCATTTACGATTAAATGCCCCATAATATATCATTCCCTTGCTTCATGCATATATTTGTACCTCATTTATGATGAATTGCCTGCCCTTGAGTGGATGAGTCGATGTAATTGCTGTTTAGTGTTTCTCTGCTCTGCTTGTGGGACTGGACTGTTCTAGAAGACTCTCAGGATTGCTTCCTTTTCCCCCATTTGCTTCCCACAGTACTTGGGGTGGGGAGGGTGGAATGGCAGAGCAACTATTTCTTCTCCAGGTCAGGAATTCTGCATGTGAATGACAATACAGGTAGTCATTAACTCAGATTCTTCAGAGACAGAGTCCTGGATAGAGGGCCCCTCTCTCCTCTGCCCAGGCAGGGGGTAGGCTCCTTCCCTGCATTGCTGAACATGCAATCCACATTTCAAGAGCCTGGCAAGATCTCGGCAGGGATACCGAACCTCTGATAAAAGTAGGCATTTGCTAACAACCTGAGGAATGTAGGGTGAGGTATGACAATGAAGATATTTAGAAGAGACTCTGCTGTTTTTGATGTGGAGAAATAGATATCTGGGAGGGAAGAGAAAGGAGCTGGGGTTCGAAGGGGGCCTGCCAGTCACTAACCAGCAGCCAGGACAGAAAAATGACTAACGGCTACTAGTCCAGTATCCCGGGCTGCTGTGATGGGATGCGTGCTCTGCCCAGTGCTTGAAGAAGGCAGGCCAGGAAAATAAAAGCAGTAGACGAAGACTGAGGCCGGTTCAGGAAGGTTGCAAAGGATACCAATAAACTCCAGATAAAATGCATTTCTGAGTGTCAGGAGGTCCTGAATGGGAGCAAGCAGGATATTTAGTGCTTACTTCTGGAGACCCTGGGATATAGAAGGGATTGTTCAAAAAATCTAGACTGTACATTTCTGTGTCCTTTGAGTGAGTGCTGCATACAAGTCCCAAGTAAGTCTGAAACCAGGAATAATAATGGGCCCATTTACCAAGTACACATTGCAGTCTCCTGGGCATTCTTAGCCAGTCGAAAGTTTTAATATACTTGGGGTAATTTAGGGATGATAGTCTCCAAAAGCTAAGTGATAGAATGAGGGTGTTGAGCTTCTGAATCCGGGGCACCTGTATGTGTGTATAAAGAGCAGATGTTTCCTCACAGTTTTCTGTGGAATGGTTTAGTCCTCAGGATTAAAGGGAGATTAATCTATGGGAGATGGGTTTTTAGTCATGGGGCTGCCTTTTCCCCAGTGGCCTGGGAAAAGTGAGGGACACTCAGTTCTGCCTCATGAAATATTCCAGCTTCACACCTTGGATTGGACCACCTGGGACCTGGATTGGGGACATGTAGAAAACCAGACAGAATAGAGAATTTGAAGTGACAGGATGCACAAGGACAGGGTTGGTGACCTCTCTCCATTTGAAGAACTCCAGATCCCAAGCTCCTACTTCTCTGTTCTTTTTCTTAAAAAAAAAAAAAAATCGAGGTATAATTGACATAACATTATAATAGTTTCAGGTGTACAATGTAACAACTCAGTATTGTATATATTGCAGATGATCATCACAACAGGTCCAGTGAACATCCCTCATGATATATGGTTATTTTTCTTCCAACTTCTAAAATGAGTGAGTAATGTGGGCATCATGGACTCTAAGCCAGAGGGAGTTGCCCATGTGGATGGTCTCTTGTGGGACCTGGTGCTGTTGGTGTATATCCTGTATGGGCCCTTGGCCCAGTGTAGGGCATACCTGAAGTCCTCTACATGGGATATCAGTGTGCTGCCCACATCATATCCTCTCAAGAACCTACTGAAGAATCCCAAGGGTGGGTGGAAAGAATTCCTAGGATAGTTCTGTGGCTCCTAACCCCTGGTTCTCAAATTTCAGAAAATAAGTTCTCTGTTGCAATTGACATATTAAATTCGAATGTCAAGTGGAGACATTTTAAATATGGGAGATAAGCTATCTCCCATATTTAGAATAGTAATAAACTGCCCAGAAGTACTGGTCCTCTTGAACTTTTGTGAACAGAGTTTTGGGTGCTCTTTGGGGTCTGAAATGAGTCACTATTGTATCCAATGAATCTTAGAACTGTTGGCCATCCTTGATTAAACAGAAGTCCTTATATTGCAGAAGAGGTAATGTCTTGCTCAGTGTCATATAGAACATTTGACTAACTCTTTACCTGAGTGGGCAAGGCTGTCAGACATGGAAGTTTATGGTCTTTAGCATCTTGGACCATCTAGACCCAAGAAAGCTTGGTAGATGGAGAGGTACTGCCCACACTCTTGACTTCCTCTTTCTACTAAGAACAGCCTATCCAGGGGATTCAAGAGTAGAACCACCCAATGGAAGCTCAGAACTAAAGATGAATCCTTCCTTGAGTAGTTCTGCTACTGATGATAACAGAGCATGCTAGGTTCAGAGTTCAGTTACAACCCCATTTTCTAGTTGTGTTGCTATGCACAACCTATACTTTAAGATTGATGGAGGAAGTAGCAGGAGGATGGTTCTGGAACTCTACAGGAGCCTCTGTGGACCATCACATGCTTCTGCAGGGTGCCGAGTATAGCTGGGTACCTATCTCAGGCAGCTTTTAAACTAGAGTTCAATGTGCCTCAGAAGATCAGAGCAATGCTGAATAGTTGTCTGAAGTGAAAAGTCTGTGGGAGCAGGAAGAGAGTAAGTGAAAGATCCAAAGAGTTTTAATAAGATGTAGGCAAGAATGAGAGAGAAAGTGAATGGGAACAAGCCATATAAACATCGCTAGAAGAGGAAAGAAGGGGGCATCTTCAATAGAAAACTTTCAGCCAGGGCCATTTTAGTCTGCATAAACTCTAAAAAATAATTGTAATTTTGGAATTTCTACACCAAAGAACATCCAACATTTACATATTGCCAGATCCAAAATGAAATATAAATTTTGTTGTAAATAAAGCAACAAGATTTTTATAATTGACTTTTAAAATTATCTGCTGTCAAATAACTCATTTACTTCATGATTGACGGTGATTTCATTGAAATCATTGTGCATTCAAAATCCTTGCAAAGTGAGAAAATAGATGCTCCTGATTATTTTCAAGTCGTAGTAAAATTTTGCAAATGTTAAATTTAATGATTGGTAAATCTGAGGAGTATAATATTTTATAGGCATTAAATTAAACATTTATTAATTTTGAATTTCAGCCTTCCTTTTAGAGGTAATAACGTTTTTTTCAGGTGTCTAGCATTTTCATGGGTCCCTGAATAGCTCACAGGATCTTGTCGCTGTGCCTAGAGTGACAGTTGGATAAGACAGCTGTTTCCAGCTGAGCCCACCACAAGGAAGACAGTTGCTAAGTCAGTTTAGACAGTTGGGTACAATTTGCAAGGAGAGTTCTCAGAAGATGTAGACAAATGACCTTTTTGTTGTCTTACCTTCAGTTTTACAATGGTGTGTTGTTTCTGTGGTTTATTTAATTGCATTCCCAACAGAAGGGAAAGGAATGGGTTGAATATCTTCTGATTACAGGACAAACAGATTTCTGTCCTAAAAGGCACGTGGAAATTCTGGACACTGACTTGTCAAGGCAAGAAGGTGTTTTTTTATTTGCATTATATCTTGTTCCACAAAAATTTGAAGTTACATATCACAAATACACATGTAACACTATGGAGAAAATGTTATTCTCTTATATGTCATTAGAAGAAGGGAAGGTCTTTGGAAAATTCTTTGGAAAGCCACTTGGAAATGTAGTGGAGACTTCAGGGCCTGAGTGACCACTGTTGGAGGAAGTCCTCTTTTCCTACCAGAAGGGTGAGAAATTGGAAATTCTATGTGAACATCCAAGGAAGAAGGAACAGGTACTGGAAGAGCCAGACCTTGCAGGGTGGCCTCCCATAGTGAAGAATTTGGAAGCATTTGGGTTTAAATAGAATTGTCAATGGTGTGTTCTTTCTGGTGAGCTTGAAGAGGAAGACAAAGGGACATTGACATTTAGATCACACACATAGCGTGTGTAATATAAATCAGAACAGATATATCAGAAAGGAGACACATGGAATACAGAGGACTCTACCTAAAATGAAGCTATGAATTGTCCTGATACATGTTCCCTAAGATCCAGAAATGATTAATTATAAGTGTTTTAATAAAATGAATATTGTGAGTTGGCATAGAGCACGATTCAGGACATTAGTCTCCTTTTCTCCCCTTATTTGGGACCTCAGTCATCCTCATGCTGAAAGATGGAGGAGCGGTTCTCCAAGGTTCTCTTCTTAGCTCTCTTCTTTCTTTCTTCTTGCCTTTGGATCTTATTCTCTTCACCATACTCTCCTCTGCCCAATTTTTCTTCTTGTTAATGGTTAATTGCTTTTATCAATGATTTTACTAAGTCACTTCCAGCTTTTTCTTTTTCTTACTTTCTGGATGCAATCAGTTAATTAATAAATACTATTAATACTACCTGGGAAATCTGTCTCACCCTGTATCAGCTTCCCATTGCCACCATAACAAATGACTACAAACTTTGTGGTTTAAAACAACACAGATTTATTATCATATAGTTCTAGAGGTCAGAAGTCCAAAGTAGTTTCTTGGGCTAAAATCAAGGCATCAGCAAGATTGCATTCCTTCTGGAGGTTCTAGGGGAGAATCTACCTCTTTACGTTTTCTAGCTTTTAGGGGACATCTGTGGTGTTCGGCTGATGCCTCCTCCCTCTACCTGCAGAACTAATAAGATAGCATCTTCCCTCCTATCTTATCTCTGTATCCATCCTTACATTTTCTCTCTCTGACTCTGATCCTTTTCCCTTTTTCATATAAAGACTCTTGTGATTAGATTGAACCCATCCTTATAATTCAGGGTAATCTTCTAATCTGAGATCCTTAATCCCATCTGCAAAGTCCCCTTTGCCAGGTAAGGTCACATATACATAAATACTAGGGATGTGGATGTGAACATCTTTGAAGGGCGACTCTATATAGCCCAGTACACACATCCTTGACCTATTCTCTCTTTCTTGTTACTATCCTATCTGCCTTACCTCATGTCTAGAATTTATAATAGCTTTAAAACCAGACTATCTCTAGCACCTCACTCTTCCCATCCAAAATCTGTACGGCTTCCCATTATCTCCTTGCAGCTGAGATCTGGTCACACCTTCTCCAAAGACTTCCCCAAAGCCATTTTGTGGCTCCTCACATAAGCATGCAGAAGAAAGCCCCAAATTCTCAGACTTGAAAGGTGGTCATTCGCACCATCCCCATGTTCGACCCCTCCGCAGGACTCAACCCTGTATTTGTATATACCGGCTCTCTTCATGACTCCTTCTATATGCCCTGAACTTTCTCAAATATTTCCATCTGCTTTTAGAATCCCTTCCATGTATAATTTTCTTCTGTTCCTACCTTGTTGGCTGAAGTTCAAGTTGTCAGTCAGGGCTCAAATCAAATCTTCCTTTTCCTGAGGTGCCTGAGTGGCTCCGTAGGTTGAGTGCCTAACTCTTGGTTTTGTTTTGGGCCATGATCTCAGAGTCGTAAGACTGAGCCTTGTGTTGGGCTCCAGGCCCAGTGAGAAGTCTGCTTGGCAGTTCTCTCCCTCTACCTCTCCCCCAACTCAGGCATACACACTCTCTCTAAAATAAATAAATCTTTAAAATAAAAATCTTCCCTTTCCCATTACAACTAGGTCTATCCAGTCTTCACATATTTTTATCATCTCTCTTCCTTCCATATCCCCCCCCTGCATTTTTATAATGGCATGGTTGTCGGTCTCCTCAGACTATGAGGCTCTAATGGGAAGAGACCCTTACCTGTGTTTTTGAGATCTCACAGCTCTTAACAAAAATGTATTGCTCATTGATTGAAGAATGTGAACAGATATTTCTCTTATTAACTATTGGAGAGATTTTCTTTAGGGAGTAGCCAAGGGATTTATAGATTTGCACTTAAAATCACTTTTAAAGGACTATTAAGGCACAACCACAGAAGTTTTGCATATTTTGGTTTGCTCCTTTTCTGGCCAGAGGAAAGTTTCTCCCTTCATTGGACTAGGGAGTCCAAGTCTCTTGGTGAGGGTTAGAATTATGGGAAAGGTCCCTCAGGTCTTCCCAATTCATTTGCCCCCCCCACCCCCCAGTAGCGTTTCACATCTGCTTTGTCGTTTGTGAGTCTCAGATATGGTGCCAAGGGGCCTTGTCTTCCAACAGATACTTCTTTTCAACTCTGTCTGCGGTGAATGATTCCTCTCAGTACCTTATCCAGTCTATAATTCCCCATTTCTTAGCTGTATTGAAGGTGAGGAAGGCCTATCTGATCTCCCAAGAGGCTCAGTGCCAATGGAGTAATTAGCTAGGCTTCATGCCAATTCAGAGCTTTGATCTGAAAACCCATAACCTTTAGTTTCAATACGATGGCAGAAGAAGGTGCTGGGCTAAAGAAGAATGCTCTAGGCTCTTCTTTCAGAACTGTGTAAACATTACCCAGACAACTTGAGAACTGGACTGTATGAAGTATTGTTGAAAAAAAAAAAGAGAGAGATTTATTGGTTCATTTTACTAATCAAACTGTGACAGTGTGTCAGTGGCCTCACAGTAAATTTCAACTAAGGCAGCCTCTATTCCAAAGCAATAAGGCAAATACAGTT